GGCCAGCCAGAAGAACCTTAAGGGAAAGGGCAGAGGGAGATTCTCCCTCTCCCCCGACACAGGCATGGCTCCTCCTGGCCACGGTCTATTCGGGCTCTTGGTCAGAGGCATTTGGAGCAGTAGCTGGGTTTCAGGGCCTCATGTGACCAGGATGTGTGTAACAGCATCGCAGGAGAAGAGCAGCCTCAGTCCATGACCAGGACTTCTGAGTCCTGGTCTTCTCTAAGATTCTCCATGAGGTCTTCTAAGACCTTCTGATATAGTGCTACTCCTCTATGCCCCACTCCCTCCCTCCTGGCTGGTCCCTCTCCCCTAAGGCTATTATATCAGAGTAGGACAGATCCTTATCCCTTATTGGCCTATTTCCTCCTAAGCCCCTTTAGAAGAGTGGAGTCCTGATTAATATTGACCCATCTGCTCTATATTACTGAGGAAGATAAGTTTAATAAATCAAACATTCTTCTGAGGTCATCACGCTATCTCTTAATCATAATACTTTTTGGGCTAAAACATACCAGCTATCTGAGCTCCAAACATGACTACAATACTCTCTAAGAGAGGATAGCCATTATGATATACTTCAAATTCCCACATACTAGCTAACATCACTACACCTTTTTCATCGCAGACCCCCAAGATACACAAATATAAATAGTGCCATAATAAATAACCCATACAAATATGCTATTGTTATCAACAGAACATGTCCCAAATTCATCTTTCCTCCCTTTAATTCCCCCTTTTCCTTCTTGATACCCTTGTCCCTCTCAGTGATGTCATTATTCATGTCTTCCTCCAGACAAAAAGCCTTTGATTACCTTTGACTTCCTTCATTATTATCCTGTACAGAATTTCTGTCATCCTTTTCTATTTATTCTTTCAATTCTTTTCTAGCATCTACTTCTTCCTTTCCCTAGGAGATAAACTCACCCTGTAATGGATTGCAAGATATGGATAGAAGATGGTATTCAAACTTTCTGTTGAAAGAAATATCTAGTAGCATATCTTACACTGTTTGCTAAGTAAACATTTCTTCCAGATGATGAACTCATATTGTCTTGTATTTGTTGCTTTATTGTTTTCTGGCTTTCATGAACCTTGCCTCCATCCTAGCTTCTTGAGATCAGGAACTATTTCAAAAATCCATTTGCAAGGGGTGTGCCCTGAGATCTTCACGATGATGAGTATAAAACAACAAAGCTAGGTTGATGAGGATGCTGGTGGTTGGCTAGGTTCACCCACTAACTAAGTGACTGGCCCCCACACAACACCCTCACAGCGTTACAGTGCAAATGCATGGATCAGCAACATCATAAGTGAATATGTGTCAGAAATCTTTGGGGGCCTTCTCAAATTGTTCAAACTGTAAATGCTACATCCATGAAAGCCAAAGTTCTACTATACATCTTTATCCTACTAGCAGTGCTGAGTGGGTACACAGTAGGTGCTGCCTAAGTGGGGGAGGGGAAGGAGGAGGTTAGGACTTGAAGGATGATGGACAAGTAGACGTGGGAAGAAGTGGTAACAAACTAGCACTTAGACATGGCATTTCCCTCCTTCTTCATTAAGGTTGCCGAGGCCATGGAGATCATGTTAATAGCGGTTGTGTCTCCTGTCATCCGCTGTGAATGGCAGCTGGAAAACTGGCAGGTGGCATTAGTGACCACGGTGAGTGCCTTCTTCCTGTACTGCGAATGTGCCAACTGAGGACCCAGAGCTTCTGCTCCCCTTTCCCCATCCCACAGGACTGAGAGCCAAAGGATGCCTCACCATGTGGCTTCCAAAGTTCATGGGTTTGCAGGCCCAAACTAGCATTCGAGGCCTTTTTTCCCCTTCCTCTTTCCCCCTGGGGAGCACAACCTTGAACTGCTTATTTGCCAGCCCCTGGTAAAAGCCCCGAAGAGATAAATGCGAATCAGAGAAAGTGACTCTTGTGTCATGGGTTAGTTATGGTTTAACTAACTATTAATTATTAGTTCAGGGCCGGCCCCGTGGCTTAGCGGTTAAGTGCGCGCGCTCCGCTGCTGGCGGCCCCGGTTCGGATCCCGGGCGCGCACCGACACACTGCTTCTCCGGCCATGCTGAGGCCACGTCCCACATACAGCAACTAGAAGGATGTGCAACTATGATATACAACTATCTACTGGGGCTTTGGGGGAAAAAAAAATTATTAGTTCAGATCACTAAGAGGCTACTTAGTTGGACCATAGTGACTTAACAAATTACCAAATCAACCTCACTGAATTGTATTGTGTTACGCATTCGACTTTTCTCAAAGACCATTATGAACAGCCTTACGACTGGACACCAGGTTTTGCTACAAAGTGGAATTAAGGATATCATCCACCATTCTTTCAAAAGGTATTTATTAAATACCAACGAATTGCCAGTAGACTGTGTGAGCGCACGTGTGCATGTGTGTTGGAGGGAGTACAAGCAGTTCCACATTGCTTAAATAGAGAGAAAGAAGAGGAAACAATAGGAGGCAAGGTTGCAGAGACAGCTGGGGGCCAGAAGTATCTCAGAGTCTGCTCATGGACTCCATTCTGTAGACCACTGGGCCACTACACCCCAACTTGGGCCAAAGTGCACAAGCTCTCCAAGCAAAAAATAGTTGGCACAAATTTTTAGGACAGTTTTTCAAATTACTGTTTTGCATAACAAAAATCAATTTTACCTAAACGCGTCGTCGACTTCATGCTCATTACGTATTTCTCATTAAATGAATAGTAAAGTACACCTTTTATCATGCAGAGCTCTGCTAATTTTTTTTTTAATCTTAAGAGAGGCTCTTAATGCATAAAAATGTTAGAGGCAAGGGGCTGGCCTGGTGGCACAGTGGTTAAGTATGCACCTTCCTCTTCAGTGGCCTGGGGTTCACAGGTTTGGATCTCAGGTGCAGACCTATGCACCGCTCATCAAACCATGCTGTGGCAGCATCCCGTACACAAAGTAGAGGAAGACTGGCACGGATGTTAGCTCAGGGACCATCTTCCTCAAGCAAAAAGATCAAGATTGGCAACAGATGTTAGCTCAGGGGCAATCTTCCTCATAAAAAAAAAAAAAAAGAAGAAGCAGCAAAGAAAAAAAATGTTAGAGGCCACACCGTGGATGATGGGGAGCCATTGAAGGGATTTAGAGAGGGGCATGGTCCATTTCTACGAACGCTGAGGAGACAAGTTTGGAAAGTGGGTAGGTTAGGACACTGTGGCGGTGGTGAAGCGACAGTGCATGGAGGTGAGAAAGTGTGTTCTGGAAACAGGAGGTAACATCAGCTTAGGTGGTCACATCAGCCAAGGAGGTGAAAGAAACACAAGGTGAGGAGTGGAGCATTGATTTATTTGGGTACTGAAGCTGGTTTTCACGAAGGCAGGACTTAGAGAGAAACACTGTGAACCAGGTGCCAACATCTTCACTGAAAAAGAGAGTGTCTAGGAAGTAGGTCGACGGTGATGGGTAGAGGACGACAGAGTCAGATGGCAGAGGCCTTGAAGGAGGATAAGGTCTGAAAGAGAGAGAGAGTTATGGTCTGAAGCTGGCAGTGGAGAATGCCGGAAGTTTCCCCCCACCCCCTCAACCTTCTGAGGGTTGTGGGCAGAGAGCAGTGGAAGGCTGCAGGGGAAGGAGTGCCCCACCTCTCGCTCACTGCCTTTACCAAATTCTACCTGGGAATTTTCATCTGTGTTGGGAACCAGGAAAAATTCTCCTTCACTTGAGGAACTGATCTGATTCTCCTCTCAGATAATGTGCGTTACATGCCCAACTGTGTTTCTTTCTGTGTCCTGGAGGCTGCGAAATTTGGAGCCCAGTCACAGCAGCAAATGTACAAATCTGCCCTTATTCTCTTAGTTCCATTTCCCTCACGAAAATTCCTCTATTCTTAATTCTGTAGCACTTGCTTCTTTTTTTTTTTTAAAGCTCTCTCTAATACTTTTAGAAAAGAGAGAGGGTATAAATAAGAATAACCAAAGATTGTACCTGGGCTTGTAATTAAGTGACTCAGCATTTTTCATTTTCTTCTCCACATAAAATATAGTTACCACTTAGAAAGCATTCCTTGTCAATCCTTGTACCTTGATGGTGATTGCTGTAACGTTATGTGTAACTATAACTGCTCCACACCCCACATGTAGGTATGCATGTCTTCACTCCTGAGAATATTGCATCTGTCACTCCCACAAAATTATACATATCTTCCTCGACTTACAATGAGGTTATGTCCCGATAAAGCCATCGTAAGTTGAAAATATCGTTAAGTTGAAAATGTATTTAATACTCCTAACCTATCGAACATCATAACTTAGCCTAGCCTAACTTAAATGTGTTCAGGACACTTACATTAGCCTGCAATTGGGCAAAATTATCTAACACAAAGTCTATTTATAATAAAGTGTTGAATATCTCAGGTACTTTATTGAATACTGTACTGATAGTGAAAAACAGAATGGTTGGATGGGTCCAGCATGGTTGTAAGTGTATCATTGTTGACCTTCTTGGTCACGTGGCTAACTGGGAGCTGCGCCTGCTGCCCAGCATTACGAGAAATGATTGGACCACCTGTCGCTAGCCTGGGAAAAGATCAAAATTCAAAATTTGAAGTACTCCTTCGAATTTAGTTTCTACTGAATATGTATTGCTTTTGCACCATCATAAAATCGTAAATTGAACCATCGTAAGTCAGGGACTGTCTGTATTACATGGTACAATTTCTATATTTACAGCTCCCATTTCATTGGTTGCATTCGTATTGTTTCTAATGGAGCCTAAAGAGGCTCCTTAATATCAGCAGTAACATGACTTCCCTTGTTAGGTGGGTCACAGCTCAGAAGACTTCTCTAGGTCATGCAACTCGTCCAAGATGTGGCTGTTTCCTGCTCTGAGTTCCTCACCTCCTCCTGTCCTCTCGTCTCTGTCCTCCTGGCTGTGAGTCCCATCTGACTTTGGCAACTGTCTTCTGGCTCACTGACCACAACCTTGCTATCAGGAGGGGCCCAGAGTGATATAGCAAAGAGGCAACATTTTCACCATCTCCCAGGCTTCCCAGCCCCCAACTCCAACTCCACTTTCTGGATAACCTGGCTGAGCAGTGGTTGATGAGTAACCTTAAGGATTGTGAGTGAACCATGTCCCCCACATTTTGTAAATGAGAGAGTTAGTGCTGAAGTAACAAAACTTCATGTGGTGCATAAATCAGAAACAGAAGAGTCATTTTTAAACTAAAAATAAGTACCTGCAGAAAAGAGCAGAACTTCCAAAGGGAGGGAGGAGGAGTTGGGGGGCGGAGGGGAGAGTTCTATGTCCCTATGCCATCTCCCACACAGGATTGCAGAGTTCCCAAGCTTTGGAGTTCATATAGACTTTGAGTCAAGCTTCAGGTTACAGACAGGCTTAATAGTAAACAACTCAACCTTATGAAAGTCATTCCTTTACACTGAATGAAAAGAAAACAAGAAAGAAAATAAAAAGTCTGCCACTTATGGGAGAGAACAGTGTAAACTTTACATTTAATCTTATTCTACTATTTCCTTCACCTTTATTAATCAGCTAATTTATTTTAATCCAGTTGCAATTTAGTTTATTTACACAACACAGCATCTCAATAAACAAAAGTATTTTAAGTCCAAAGAGCCAGTTTCCTCCTTGCCTTAGGCAGTTTGCTATTGTTTCCTTTTATTCAAGTCCAGTAAAAAGAAAAAATATTAGTTAGCCTTTCTCTTCTTGGAGGGAGTTTGATAATTTCTGGCCAGTAATAGAAACTGCTTAATTTCAGGGGCACCCAAAGTTTGGAATTCACCAACCGATATGATTTTTTAAAAATTGAGTGGCTGACATAGGGTTGACATTAAAAAAATATATGTATTTGACAAGTAAGGCCATTAGAAGAAGAGGAGAAAAAGGCAGAAAATCTTGCCATCGACTACCATCATCTTTCAAGAAAGAAGGGCACATTACTACCAATAATCAGAAAGAGAATTATTCCAGAATAAAAAGCTCTTCACACTTAATAAATTTAGATTTTTGCAGAATGTATCACATTGTCCTTATTTTTACCTTTTTGCTCAGGACTGGCTAGATTTCATTACGGTGCAGCATCTACCCCAGGACTGGCATTTAGAAAGCACTGGCTTTTTCCCTCCCAGTCCAGCCTGAGAAGACAGTGCACAGAGGAAAAGTATAGCTTTTGTCATTGAAACATAGACATGATGGTTTTTATAGTTCCCAGTAGAAGAAATGCATTTGAGCCTTCCTTATGAAGAGTGAGGAAGGGAGAAAAAGAGAAAGCAAGGCAGGCAGCAGAGAGAAACAGAGCTTTTTCATTGAAAAAGTGTTAGAAATGTCAGCTAACACTTTTCCTTTGATTTCCCTGGAAGCAATTAGTTAGGGATCTTACCAGAAAGGAGACCCAGTGGAGCTTGGAAGCGCTTGAAGGAAGAAAAACAAGCTGTGTAAAGGCACAGACGTTAGATTACAGCTCAGGCTGAGTTAAAATGCTGGTATCATCTCCAGGTTCTTGAATTTTATCAGGGGACGACAAGCCATCATGAGAACAAGTAAGGAAAAGAAGTAGGTTTATATTAGTTCTGAAGAGTGTTTCTAAATGAATGATGGGTTTTGGTGTTTGTTTAAAGTTTATGTTTACCTATAATAATATAAAGGAGACTCCTTCTAAAAGTCTCAACTTGTGTGTGGAATAAGGCTGAGCATGAATGGAGTAGTTTTTTCTTTAATTAAAGTGGAAATTCAGGGGCCGGCCCCGTGGCTTAGCGGTTAAGTGCGTGCTCTCCGCTGCCGGCGGCCCGGGTTCGGATCCCGGGTGCGCACCGAGGCACCACTCCTCCAGCCATGCTGAGGCCGCATCCCACATACAGCAACTAGAAGGATGTGCAGCTATGACAGACAACTATGTACTGGGGCTTTGGGGGAAAAGTAAATAAATAAAGTGGAAATTCACAATTATGCATCTGAGTAGAGCGGGGCCAATGCCATCATCTCAGATCAGAGGGAAAGCAGTTACCTGCTCCTTCGACCCCTGTTTCCACCTGGCGGCAGTGTCTCCAGGTGTGGGGTCGGCCAACAAGAAGTTAACCTCTGATGCCCTGAACGTGTTCAACAGGAGTTAGGGGAGAGCTTTGTGAGAACACTCTCTTCAACTTCTACCCCTCGCACACTTCCAGTCTACTTTTAGTGAAGATGGATGAATGCTTAATGCAGTAAATTAGGGTATTATAACAACTCTGTTTAGAGGATAACTTCTTCTTACCCCACCTCCAGATGGTGTTTTTCGGCTACATGGTATTCAGCATCCTCTTTGGCCTCCTGGCTGACAGATATGGCCGCTGGAAGGTAGGTTGGCCTCGAAGGATGATTTGGAATTTTCTTTTGGGTATTCTTTTGTGGCCGTGTCAACTTTGCTTCTCTTTAGTGGACATTTCCCTATCAATTCCCAAGACAGAAAGTATGGAAATGTCCTTCTCTGATGTTACATGCCTGGATTCCAGGCTTGTCTTCTTGCTTTCTCATCTTTTCCTGAGGTACCTCTCCCCATCCCTTGTCCCTGTAGTCCAGGTATGGAATTGATGGATGCGCGTAGTTAGAACATATTACAATGTGGGAACTTGCACATATAAACAAACAGCTTCACATTAGTTAACTTGGGTATAGCTTTGAAACTAAGCCACTTGCTCAAGGTCACCCACCAACTGAGATTAAGCATGAGGACATAAACCTATGTCTTCTGAGTATAAACCCAGGTCTCTCTTCTTTTCTTCTCTGATTTCTGGTGGGCAAGTCCTCTCCAAGCACAAGCACAATGGGAGAAGCCCCCAAGGAAACCATTAATAGAATTGGCAGTATGTGTTAGGTACACAAAATAAATATCATCGACTCTTATAAATTAATAAGAAAGCACAAGTATCTCAAAAAATGTAAAGAGCATAAAAAAGCATTTTACAAAAGAAGAAATAAAATAGTCAAGAAACCTTGAAAAACAATCAACCAAAAGCAGAATTGATAGCAGCTCAATACAAGGTTGACATGAGGGAAGCCATACTGTAGAAAAGAAACAATATGGTACCTTTGAATGATCTCTGATTAACTAGCTCAGACATGCTCTATGGATTTTATGGCTTCTCCCAGCTGCAATAAGTCGTTAACTTTGTTCTTTTGAGTTCCTTAGGAGTGTGATGGCCCCCAGGCAGAGAGTTTTTATGCTGATAGCCATCATCTACGACAACCGAAAGATCAGGGTATAGGGCGTTGCACTGGTCTCTGATGCATATCCAGTAAAACAAAAGACTATCAGGAACTAAGACCAGATGTCTGCCTCCACCTGGAGATCAGACAGATGCCCCCACCTGGAGACCAGATGCCTCCCCCACCAGGAGACCAGCCACCTATATAACTGGCCTGTAGTCTTTGTTCTGTAAGATGTTTTTTTTCCGGACAGTAGTCAGCCATCTTCCCTCTTGCTAGCAAGCTGTAATAAAAAGTCCTTTCTCTGCTACCACCTTGCCTCTTGACTATTGGCATGTCTTATGGTGGGCAGATGATGCCTCCCCTTGGGCAGTAACAAAATTACACAGCAAGATATAATTTTTTCCTTATCGAATCCATATCAAACATCAAATCTATAAGGAATTATTCTTTGTCTTAAAGAGCCCTGCAAGTGTACAGACACCCTCATATACTATTGGTATAATTTTTCTGATCATCAGTTTGGCAGTATGAATCAAGAACTTTGAGAATATCCAGTCTCTTCACCTGATAATTTGCCTTCCAGAAATCTAGCATGTTTAGATCATCAGATAACAACAAAGATTTATGCATAGTCATTGTCACAGCTAATTTTGATAGAGAGAAAATGTGAAACAACCTCAGCATTCAACGATCGGGGAAAGGTTGATGCATCACATTACGTGTGTCTTTCCACCAGAATCTTTTGCAGCCATTAAAAATATGTTTTCCCTTACAAACAGGGAAAATAGGGTAAAACTGTGTTAATGGTATTTTCCCTGGGTTGGAGAATCAAGGGTGATTTAAATATTTTTATTGGTGTTTTTTCTTCCATATTTTCTACTATGAACTTATATTATCTTATAATTAGTGAAAAATATTAAATTTTCTACTTGTACTCATTCCAACACAATGCTTTGCTATGTTCCTGACATCCCTGTGAACAGGGAGCTCAAGTTTTCACAGTCTGATTTACAAGTTCAGTTTCCTACTGCCTGTGAGGGTGGGCAGCTGGGCAGTTTTGAAGAATGGTCTAAATGCAGAATGTCTGGGCTTTCAGACAATAGAAAGGCATGGACTGTATTGTCTGATGATTGTGTGGGATCAGTGAGCTTGCCATAGATTAGCTCCTCAGAGAAGCAAATATCTGGATGGAAATTAAAAGTCACCTTCAGAAGTTAGATTTTCTCTCCTACCTTCCATCGAGGCAGGTCCCATTAATGTGTCTCCTTTTCTTGCTTCAGATTTTGCTCATCTCATTCCTGTGGGGAGCCTACTTCTCCTTGCTGACCTCTTTCTCTCCCTCGTACATCTGGTTCGTCTTCCTGCGGACAATGGTGGGCTGTGGTGTGTCTGGCCATGCACAAGGGTAAAGTCTTCCCCTAGAGGATCCTTGAGAGAGATGTGCACACCCACTGATGCTCACAGGCACACTGTGCTTAATGGACTCATAGCATCAATAGACTTCACTTGTGCTAATTATTTTTGAGCTTTTTTTTTTTTAAGCAATGGCTGCTTATTCCTCTAGAAGAAATATATTTGTTCATCAAGATGATGTTTGATGGTGAGACTAGCAGACTGCTAGATTGAGCATCTGTGAACTTTTTTGTTCCTGCGGCTGATCATTATTATTATTATTATTTTTTTTAAAGATTTTATTTATTTATTTTTTCCCCCCAAAGCCCCAGTAGATAGTTGTATGTCATAGCTGCACATCCTTCTAGTTGCTGTAT